AGAATATTGTCTCGGTTCATGGTAAGGGAGCGTAGACGTTTCGTTGCTTTGCGAGAGGACTAAAACAATTGGAAGGCATCTGTTGGAACGTGGGCGTTATCAACGGACCTTGTCATTTAAGATATTGCGTTGATATGAATTATCAAAACAACACTATCCCAAACCACTATCAAGACCATTAATTGAAAAAACTCTGAACAGCAGGCCAGTTTTTGTAAAATCCACTAAAAAAAAACATTTTAATTCTTTCAATCATGGTTTCAGCTGGACTCGAAAATTTTCAAATAGCTGACCTAAGAAAAAAAATTCCCGAGCACGCCAATGATAATTTAATAATAGGACTGAGGACTTAAGTTAAAAAGATATATTTGTGCTTGATTTTTTTTCGCGCAAATTACTTTGTTTGTAAGGTGACTGATATTGATGATCATCGTCAATCTGTACTTTTGTAAACTAACAGAAAACTTTGAAAAGGTCTGCATTTTGAAAACCCGTTCTATTCGAATTTTGTGTTTTTTATGGTTGTTGTAAATTTACCAACTCCGATTTAGTTAATCAGTTTTTTCTTTTTTTTTCTGCCGAAAAACTTCTTGCCGAATTGAGTCGTTTGATTTGTACATATATGTATGGACGATTTTTTTACTCATCATAGAATCAAAAACTGTCGGTCTTGATACCACTGTGAAGTGCTTCGAGACTAAATTTTTAAGTGAATTTCCTAGTCGGCCTATTTTATAAAAAAAACTTCAATTTATAAAAAACTCAGACAAAGATATGAAAATTTAGGTAAACCATGTTTTGCCTAAAAGACATTTTTTATATCAAAATTTTGTTTTGAGGTTTGTGTTTCTTTTTCTGTCGGTTAATTTGTCTTGCTACACTTGTAGTGTACTGGCAAGTGATGCGAAGTTTCGCTTGGCTTGTGCATGAAAAAATATATCCAAAATTTTTTTTGACTTCTTGGCATAAATTTTTAGTTTTAAATGTAGTAGTATGTGGTTGAAATTGTGGCAAAAAACTCAAGCTATAATAATTAAAATTCGAATCTCAAAATTTTACCAATTTTACTACAGTATGTAAGTAAGCGGGGGCTATTCTCGTGGGAGAATGATCAAATGGGTAAAAAACTCATTGGCGAAGGACCGAAAACAAAAACAGTTGAAAGTCAATTATTAATAGAATCAATTGTGGTTCAAATAAAATAAAATAACAAGCCCGCCTCCAAAATTCAATTGGCTCGCAGAAAAAGATGCTGTTTTGACCAAGCTATCCCAGCAAAAAAAACTTTGAAAAATTTCAAGTTAGGCCATATCGTATATCGGTTTGCAAAACTTTAGGCTTTATAGTACGAATCGGTTCCCGAGAAAACGAAGTTTTTCTGAGCAAGCTATTCAAGCTATGAAACTCTGAAATATTTTAAAATGTTTCATGGAGCAAATCGGATAACGCAACTTACGGTTTTCATATGGAAGCTATTTAAGCAATAAACCATTGAAATATTTCAAGCTGTTTCATAGAGCGAATCAATAAGCAAAAAAATTAAGTGTTTCTAGGCAAGCTTGGCAAAAAGTTTAAGTTTTTTTTAGAAAGCTTGTCAAGCTATGAACTGAAACATTTCAATTTACTTCACAGAGCAAACTAGTTCGCCAAAGTTTCAAGTTTTTCAATTCAAGCTATTTAAAACAAAAAACTTTTAAGCATTTCTATGATTTGCAAACAGTGATTTGGTTCACAAAAATTATAAGAATTTCGAAGCAAGCTCTTGAACTATGACACTTTGAGTTAATTCCGGTTATTTTATAGAGTAGAAAAATTTGCAAAAAAAACTTATTTTTTTACGGAAGCTGTTCAAGCTATGAAAATTTAATTAATTGAAGTTTCTTCAAAAAAAGAACCCGATAGCAAACTGTTTTTCTGGTGAAACCTATAGAGTGATTTCTATTTTTTCTAAGTTTTTTAGTAATTTTTTTTGCGCGAGCTAATGGAGAAAGGAACTTCAAAAAAAGCTATTTTTAAACTGAACCTTTTTTGCTAAAAGTTACAGTTTTCCAAAGAAAGCAATTCAAGATATGAAACTTTGAAATATTTCAAGATATTTAATGAAACAATTCGGTTCAAGAAAAAAACTAGTTTAAGCAAGCTATTTGAAAACTTGAAGCTGTTCGAAACTTTAAAAAAATTCCGAATAAATTCATAGACTGACTCGGTTTGCAAAAATTTGAAGTTTTTCTGAGCAAGCTTTTAAAGCTATGAACTTTGAATTATTTCTTGTTATTTCATAGACTGAATCGTTCGCGAAAAGGTAGTTTTTCTGAGCTAGCTTTTAAAGCTAAGAAACACTGAAATATTTCCAGTTATTTTGTAGACCGAATCGTTTCGCAAAAACATTAAGTTTTTCTAAGCAAGCTTTTAAAGCCATGAAACTTTGAAGTACTTCATGTTATTTCATAAACTGAATCGTTCACGAAAAAGTTGAGTTTTTTTAAGCAAACTTTTCATCAAGCTACGAAACTTTAAATAATTTCAAGTTATTTCTTAGACTGAATTGGTTCGCGAAAATTTATACTTTTTTAAGCAAGCTGTAAAAGCTATGATACGCTAAATTATTTCAATTTATTTCAGATACTGAATCGGTTTGCGAACATTTAAATTTTTCTTAGCAAGTTTTTTAAGCTACGAAACGTTGAAACTTTTCCATTTATTTCATAGACCAAACAGATTTGCAAGAATTTTTTTTTCTAGCACAGAGGTTCCTTTTTTAAGTTCGTTCCAGACTGAAATGAGTCTGTAAACGCAAAATTTTGGACAAAAAGTAGGCAGGTATTGCTTAGCCTTAAAGTTGAATCAAGTTCATCTCGCTCTGATAATTGCTCTGAGTGATTCTTAAAGTACTGATCTAAGCCTTTCTAAATGTTGCGCTTGATAGCCCCTTAAGCATTAGGCCTTATGCTGAAAACGTGGCATTCATCTAATATATAAAATTAAATGAAGCAGTACTTTTTGTCTTTTATAACGAAATCCTTGATTAAAAACTTTGTTTCAATTCGCACGCAGTGACAGTTTGAAAATTTGCCGGCGGTCAGTAGCGACTCGAAACCCTTGAAATTTAAAATTTGCTCCAATTTGCCGGCATATAAAGTAATTTAAAAATTTTGATGCTTCTATTCATAGCTCCGATTTCAAAATCTTAAGATATCGAAATATTGATCCGATAAATCTCAATTTTTCCACGCTTTTGCAAATGTATATCAGCTGTTCAATTGGGTCTCATCTATCTATTTGGCCAGCTAATTTAGAGAAGTCTTAAATTATCAAATTATACGTCAATTACTCAGGTGTTCATTCTCTATGAATTGAAAAACTGCGGCCAATTTTTGAAGATTTGTATTCTGCACTAAGCTGAGAAAAGATTGATTTGAAAACGAAGAAAGCTTTCGACCGAGGGCGGGGGGCAACAGTGCCGAAAAATAACCAAAAAATGCGTGTAATTTTTTAGCAGGGGCGCAACAGCGGTTCTCCGTGATGAGCCGTACAGCTCGTATGTTAGTCCTTTCCCTCGTGGATAAATGGTCGTAATTTAACCTGAGTGAATTAACTGAAAAAAAGTTCAACAGTGTTGAAAATCGTCAATTTTTGGCTCTGTTCAACAACTTTTCAATTTTTGCTCCTGGTTACGCAGCAAAAAAACACCCGCATCTAGTTTCAAGCGTTAATAATCTTTAGTACCAGTCTTACTAAAATTGAGAAACAATCGATTTTAACCAACTAATAATCGATTATAATCTCTCTTTTTAAAATCAAACTATAATCATTTATAATACATTATAATCTATTATAATCGATTAATTATTCGTCTATTTTTCGATACAAGTATAATCAATTATATTTGAGTACAATCCATTATTTTTATTCAAATTTCTAATTCATTAGTTTTGCTCAAAAATCTATTATAACCGATTATAATTGATTATAATCCCTTTTGTTTGTTTATTTTGTCTTCGAAATTGTATTTAAATTGCTTATATTTTATGCTTTTGTAGACGTTGGTTCCTTTGAAAAATGAGAAAAATGTTTTCAAAGCTTTCCAATCATTTCAAATTTATAAGGTTTTTTTTCATTTCTTCTCCATTAGTTGTTTGTGATGCATATTTTAAGCTTTTTAACCACCAAAACGTCAGCAAATTGATTTAGTTTCATGATTGACTCCAAAAATTTATTTTTCATCTACCACGGGAACTTTTCCACTAATATGAAAGGATCTTTTTGAAACTGTTGTTTCATGGTAAAACTTTGTGTTCAGATGAAGCAAAGTGTTCAAGAGATATCTCTTTTAGAGACTTTCTTATTGATACAAAATAAGTAACCCATAAAATAAAATTCGAATATTGTTTTGAATTGACAAAACTTTGGCAAAATAAGAGATTATAATCCATTAAAATCGATTATAATTGATTCTAAAGGTTTTTGTAAGAACTATAATTAATTATAACCGATTATAAGATATTATAATATCTTGGAAAATATCACGATTATAATCAATTATAAATCCTTTAAACACCTAATTTCGGTAATTATAACCAACAATTATTGTCAAAAAACCATCATAATAATCCGTTATAATCAATTACTTACGCCTAAACTTGGATGCGGGCAGACATGTCATAAATTAGACACATCGTAAGCAAGTCGGAATCGAGAAAAGAAAGTATTTCGCACGCTTGTTTTCATATCTCGATTCTGATTGGTCTACGACGTGTCTGCTTCATTACATGTTTATTTTTTGACCGCACTCCGTTCTACTAGAGCACTGCTGTACTGCCCCTATAGACATTAAACAAAACATTTGCTTTTTTGTTTGACGACAAATTTAATAAGAACTCCTTTAGTCAAAATATCAAACAAGAGAACATGTTTAGGATCACGGTTTCAGCTCCGACTCAACTACCAAATCATTATTCGACCAAAGTCATTGACATGTACTAATTTACATTTGACTGAGCAAGCAATACGAAATCTATTTTATCTCGTTTTCTTATGTGGTCCCTCTCTTTTATTATACGCTAAATATCTTTATATAACTCTCATAAGCTCGCTATACTATATACTTGGTTGAATCAGTGGTTTATCAGTTGGTTAAGCAGTCTGAAATGAGTCTACAATTTGGCGCTGAGACCTCAACTGACCATTTTGACACAAAGCCAGACGAAACCAAAATGTTCTCACACGAATTCCAGATGTTACACGAGAAACGATACGAAGGTCAGAAACTTTGGGTGTCTGGGCTTAACTTAGTCAAGCCCTTTTCATCAAAATTTTTATATCTCTATTGGTGCGGAATAAAACACTTAATAGGATCAATTAGTCAATCATTGATGATTAGAAAACCATACAAGAAGCAGTTTGAGGGTTTGAATTAATTACAGCATCAAATATTAGACAGGATATCTCATCGTTTTTACCCTTGTTCGATTAGCAAGGATGTTGCAACCAGATAACCACGTTTTTGTTTCGACCCCTTCACGACTTTTGCTACCACAAGGAAAGCTTTTATGGAATCGAGAGTGCTATTACGTTTAAGCCCTATCAGTCGTGATTTGGATTCCAAAAAAATCTTAGCAATTACTTCATTGTCGAGTAAAAATAGCCCTGATTTTCTTCAATTTTCAAACCTGACACTAAAAATTTAGGATGTTCTGAAGATACTGGCACAACAACTTTGATTACACTAATTTTAAAATATTTGAGCTATAAGTATTTCTGGTTCTACAATTTTTTGCCCCTTTTAATTGCTCTCTTCTGAAAAAAAACTCACAAAAATTTATTTAGAGTTTTTTCGCAGACTTTCTACTAATGTTCGTTAAGTAAATAAGAAAATGTTCAGCTTTTGTGGACTGAAAAAAAATACTGAAGAAAGTGACAAAATACTTTATTTAAGAGACAATTGGAACCTGATCTAAACTACATTTTATGATTGGATAAATTAGATATTTTACCACTGTAAAGTATTTAATATTAACCAATCATGATCCATCTAACTAACAACCCACATATTTGTAAGTGCTGAAATTACTTGTAATTTCAGCACCAGAGAGATTTGAATTTAACTTAGAAATTAGTTGCCTCTCCAAGAGAACTTCAGCAGCCGCAATAAACCAGTATACCCTAGATCTATTGAGCCTAGCAGAGACTAGTTAAACAACCTGAGACTAGATAGTATAAGAGTAAGATTAGGATCGGTATTAGACTAAGAAGTTGCACGAATCTATCCGGCCGAAAATAAGATAGCGTGACGAGCAGACGGTGTACCCTATCCGAAATTACTCTATGAGTTAAGACCATCGGTTATAACTCATCTGGTGCGAACATAAGTCTCGAACAAGACCTTAATAGCTTAGAATTAACCAAAAATAGATTAGAATTTAGACAAAACATTTTTGAAATGTTACACGACGATAATTTAATCGAAATGTCTCTACGACTCAATAGATCAGAGCCAATATTCCGAACGATAATAGAACTACCCGGAATTGGAAGAAGACCTCGAACCAGAGACGACATACGACAAAGTAGAAACTTACCAATTAGTTATATGATAGTACGGCAAAAGCCAACACAAACTTTTATATTTAGAATTTTATTAGCAATGACTTTAGATTTTCATTTACAAACATAAAATCTTGAAGTCAATCTTCATAATCATTTCAGGCGCTAAACAAAACTATTAATATACAATAACGATTGATAAAAAGATCTCAGATCGTTTTCCTAAAATTCTGCAGTATTATATAAAACATGTTTGGAAAATATTTATTGAAAATCAAAACAAAAATTAGTAGCATGACAATAAACTGTTAGTAATCATAAAATCATCAGTTATCCCAGCTTCATCACCTAAAACATAACAGCAATCATAAGCTCACTCATATCATTAAAACACTAAATCTTTTTCTTAAACAAATTTAAACCATTTTAAACTTAAATTCACTTAATTTTAAAATCAGATCATCAAGGCTTATCCTTGGATCTTAATTAATTTTCTAATTAATTCAATTTAAAACTTGATCATCAAGGCCTATTCTTGGATCAAAAAGAACAATTTTGTTCTCCCCCACCCACTTAGCTAGTGTCTAACGACCTCAAACGTCGATTCACTATCCAACCCTTTCAAAAAACCCAAGACTAATAGAAATTTTTGAACAAAACTAATCATTCAAATTAGGATAAACAGTGAAGAACTTCGGTTATTCATCCTTCACTTGAACCCTCCTCTTATCAGACCCAGGATAAATCTTAGACTTAGTAAGTTTAAAATAGTATCTAACGAACTACTCGCGTTCTAATTATACCTGAACCTTGTGGATCGATTTACTATTCTCCAACCCTTGAACACAATCACTACCACTAAGTAAGATTAAGTAAGTTAACACCTTAGCTTATACTAGCCACGAGAAAGTAAAAAATCATTCTTCGGAATCGATATACTTTTCTCTCCAACCCTGAACAAATAGACCCAGGTTAAGCTAACCAAGAAAAATCGTAAGGACTAACAATTTAAGAAAATAGAAATCATCTAACAACTTTTTGCATCCGTCATCCTAAACCTTATGTCATTTAAAAATCTAGGAAACAAACAAACAATCGTTTTACACAACTGTGAAATAGATAACAAAAAATACGACCTTGTAATCACACCTCATACACAAACAGTTGGATATATTAGAACAAAACGACAAACACTAAAAAAGAAAATAATAACCAAACAAAGACAAATAACACGAAAAAGATTTTCCAAAAATAGAAACGCATTTTCAGAATCAGAAGCCAGCAATTTAGACGAACTTTATAAATTAAAAGAATCTATTGATAAAAATTGCCCCATTCACGATCAATTATATTTTTCAGACTCAGAAACAACTTCAAATTCATCAAAAAGAGGAAAAAGAAGAAGAAAAAAGCAATATAAACACAAACCAGTACACTTGTATAATTGGAATCAACCAATTAGACACATCGATAATTACCTATTAACAGTCATTAAACGAAAAAATGAGCCAAACACACACTCCAAGTGAAGATAGTCCAGATGATGACGATATCTACCCCTTCCTCGTAGATGCACCCGATAATAGAGGCCAACATGATCTTTGCAAGAATTTCCTCCTAAATTTGTTTCAACCCGGAATCAGCCCATGTAAAGCAGAGTTCCCAGATGTAAAAATCAAAAGACAAATTATTGATCACTATCTGAAATATATATGTAATTTAACACAACAATACGGAATCTACACCATAGAATTCAGTACACCAAACCCGAATCACCGCAGATATGTAATTCAAACAGACGATCTTGACTTAGAATTTTCAAAAGTATTCTTAGAATATATAAAAAGCATACAATATCATAACTCACAAAGAGCAAACTCCATATTTACTAATGAAGTTTTTGCAATAATATATAGTTATATTTCAATATTAGAAAACGAAACCCCAATCTCAAATGTCTCACCGACAGAGACATCCAAACATATAAGGGTACGACATGAAATCACACTATTTTCAACTTTCCTACATATAATTAAAGAAAATTTCACTAAAGATGAAGTTTCACAACATACAAAACATGACTTACAAAAAATTTTAGCATGGTTTATAATAGATTATTTCACACATAATATAGATTTAATTTCACAAGCAAGAAAAAATTTCAGACCTCAAAATTCAAACGATGATACCGCCATCACAGAACAATCAGACTACATTTGGGACCCCGAATGGTCTCATTATGCATTCATAAATATCCCACAATCAATCTCAAGTCAAGCAATAAGTACAATATCTTATGCAAGAGATTATATAAGAGTAGTACCATTAACCATTGATGCAACACCATTAAACTACAATACATTTTTACCTGATACGCGAAATAACAGTTTAAATTCGACCGTCATACATACTGAAAACCTTAATGGAACTAGGAATCTCACTCAACAAGATATTCAAACACCATCACACTTCATAAATGAAGAAATCGTCCAAACAACAACAACTACACAACAAAGTATTTCACCGATACGCTCAAATTTAACAACACCAAGAAATACAAACAATTCACTAGCACAGATAACCTTACAATCAACCGTTAAACCTTCGGTTGCTCCAAAATATTCACAAATGGATTATCAAACATATAGACCCATGACAATACCGTCAAAAACACGCAGAACATTCACAAGAAACACTTTTGCGGAACACAATTATAATTACACACATTCATCAAAAACAAACTATCCCCCACGAAAAAATAATAATAATCAGATAAGATCTCAATATTGGGATAATCCAATGACAACAACCAACTCAGTAAATTTTCAAACTAATTCACATCCTTTACAGGATCGTAGTGAAAATTACCCATTCTTTCAACAAAATCAAAATAAAAAACAAGCACCTCATCAAACGGATTATCTATCCTCTGATGATGATTATTTACAACCAGATATATTTGCACCATACACTCAAGAATATCGTGGACAAAGAGTGCAGAAACCACATACATATCATATAATTTTTTCTCCACACCCAATAGATACACAAAATCAACAACCAATACAAATGCAAAACCCAATTAATACACAATCTTTTCAACCAATTCAGCCACAAAACCCAATGATTACACACTCGTATCAACCAACACAAATGCAAAATGAAATACCACTCCCATATTACCTTCAACAACACGAAATAACAAAAAATCAACTTTCAAATTTTTCACAAATGCCAAATGCCGCAGAATCGTTACAAATGACAATGAATCCATACCTTATGGGTGGATCATCAATAACATCAAATAAACCATTAATGGTATTCACAGGAACAGACCCTGAATATTCTGTAGAAGATTATTTAAATGCAGTAACAGCAAATTTAATTTTTAATATGGGACCTGAGCCAATTAATACGCCACTACATCAAAATTGGATACATTGACGCACAGCGTTGATACAGACAACCTTAGACGGCGCAGCCCAAAAATGGTTTTCAGTATTGCCTATAGAAATAAAATCAAATTGGAAAAGATTTACACAAGAATTTTCAAAAGTGTTTGACTCCGAAAGAAACAAACAACAACAAAGAGTTTTATGTAATGAAATTCGCAGATTACCAAATTAAACTATCAAACAATTAGCAGTACGTATAGAAACACTAGTTCGAAAAGCATATTCATTAAATACACACGACTATAAAAACACAAAAATGAC